TCCATGACCATTGGGCATTGCTTGTTCTTTGTTCGTTAATATATAAAAGGTATCTAAAAGTTATAAATGCAAAAATTGCAGAAGAATTGCGTTGATATATATATTTTTTAAATTAAATCTTTTTCGTTTGTATTATAACGATTCTGCTTAGCAGAATTGAAACAAATACTGTCTGAGGTGCAATTTAGTCTTGAATAGAAAACCATTCAAATACCGTTAAAACGTATACCTATTAATTGCCATGCTTTTTATCTTCAACCAAATATGCTTTATCTAGCTGCACTAGCTACAAATTTGTCTACAATTGTACAGTGCCAGCTAACATTATTTAATAATAATATGTATTTTTAACCTATAACCCCCTTCAATATCCGAATACGATCCTTAGCAACTCGAGGGATTCCCAATCAAATTATCCACTCTATTTAGTTCTCAGAACAACGCGCAATAAATAAATAAATATAAAAAAAAATTATAGTATAGGCATATATTTTACAAAAATAATCAGCAAAAAATTGGGAGAGTCAGGAACCTATGCGTCGAAAGTTTCAGCAAATACGTCCCGTTTTCTCAAAATATCTAATGTTGCGTCAGCAGTGAGATGTCCTGTATATATAGATTCGTGAAGTTCGTGGATGCTATCGCCAAACCTATAGTAACACTGTGTAAAATTCAGTGCTACTCTCACATAGTTGTCACTTTTCACGTCATATTAGATACTACTAATTTTTATAGGCAAGTTACCTCTGAGAAATGCCAAAAATTCAACACCTTGTACTTTAGTTACTATTGAATGATATCTGACTATTCTATAACGAAACTATACCAGTTTGATAGAATTCGCCAAAATTAGGTATTTGACGAATTCAGTTTCTTCCTTCTCTTTCTTTCTCAAATTGAAACGCGCCTTCAAAGAATCAATTTAACTGTTTGCTTTGACATTCTAACAAAATCAATTCCAGACTTCCTGTTCCTGAACGCAGGCGTTTACCGTAGGACAAACAAGTTAAGCACGTAGTTCCGAAAACAATATGTCTAATAACAAGATTTGCACGTCTTTAAGGCTACTTGAAAGCCGACCAAATCGATTTGCGCACTGATCCGGTCGTAACGCTTATATGAAATTTTTGAGAAAACATTGGAGCAATCGAAAACAACAACAAAAGTTCCTTTTTGATTTTTATTAATTTTTTTTTTGGAATAATTAAGTTATTATGAACTTTAATTCGTGTTCTCTTATTTGTCGTCTGCTGTTATTTTTTTAGCAAGATAAGCAAACTATATCGATTAGGTATGTGATAAATAGTAAATTTTTAAGAAACACTTAAAATATATGGAATTATATAAGGCAACAAAAATTAATTTATACGAATTTCATGTGTAGCCTTAATACCAAATATAATTAATATCTGCCACAATGGCCTAACTTTAAACGCTTCTCAGAATATATATTTTCATAACAAAATTTAGATTTTATATCAGTACCTAGTAATTGGAACGTTCTGTTAAATTCTTTTGACCTGTTTGTATTTCGTATAGGAAATTTGCTTCAAGTTTAATTTATTTCGAAAAATAAAAAAGTTTGGTAGCGTTGTTTAAATGACATAGTTTTTTGCGTTTGATCAAGGGAGATTCATGATTTTTAGAAAATTGGAGGAATCGGGGCTAATTTTTTTTTCTCTCTTCAAATAAGATGTGCTCCTTTTTATAAAACTTCTGGATTCCTCCTGCATCGGTTTTTGTTGAGTCGAGCTAGCTAACGTTTCTCCAATCATCCTGTTGGTTTCTTCAGTTTCAGTCAAGCTCCGAATAAGCCAACAGGATGATTGGCGAAACGTTAGCTAGTTTTAGTCAACAAAAACTGACGCAGGATGAAGCCAGAAGTTTTATAAAAAGGAAGTTTCTTTGAAAAATTAAGATATTTTCCCATAACCAAGCAACTTATGTGGTCCAAATGTATCCCTGGGGGGGCTTCATTGTGGCACAGTTGTTTTTTTAAGCCCTTCTATAACTTTGAAAATTATTAATTTTACATAAAATATAAGTGAAGCATATTTTCCATGGGATACGCTCCTTAATTGGTATATTATTCCCCATGTCTTTACTTGAGTTCTTGATAGGTTCTTGATGAGGTCGACATACTTTCTCGCATTCTTGTGAGTTATCTATCGATGTCTATAATTGGAAGTGGAAATGGGCACTGCCTCTCATCATAGTCTTGTGTAGAATACTACACAATTTGGGGTGGGTGGTTGAGCAAAGGAGTTGTTGAACAATGCTAAGGCGTTGATATCGATGATCAATCGGATTTTACACTTCGAAAAAAAAAGTATTTTAAAGAAATAATAATAAGTGAACCTGTGCATATTTTGGGTAGTGAACTAAACTTTGAACAGCATTTATAAAATATCATACAAAAGGCAGTTTCATCGCATCAAACATATTATGACATACAAAATATTTGTTGCCGTTAAGAAAATTTTACAATATGTGTCACAGGATTAATGATAATAATAAAACGCTTCATTTATGGAAAAACGCACGTCCTCAAAATTTTAGAAAAATGTTGGGACAAATAATTAATAATATTAAATGACACAGTGAGGATTTCGACCAGGATTTACTTGTTTGAGGTGCTTGCTGCATCAATTTGTATTTATGACAGTAAACGTCAACGAATGAATGTGTTTAATTCCGATATAACTAATTTTTAAAATTTTAAAATTTCAATCGCACAATCATTTTTAAGGTAGACAGAGTAGAAAAAAATATTAATAAAAGTTGATTACTTGCCATTGCAATTTTTCGATTCGTGTAAAAGCCTGGACCTGTATTTTGACTCTAAATTTACATATCTACAACATGTTACTTACAAGCTTAGGCGAGCCTATGGTATATTAAAACTAATTTACTCTCATTGTTATTTCTTATTACGAAAAACAAAAAAAAAACTCGTCTGTAACTCCTTGGATTTATCTCAGTTAAATCACTACTGTGCATTCGTTGGTCTTAGTTTTGATTCATTTTATAAAACACGTGTAGAAAAACTTCAAAACTTAGGTTTATTTATGGGATACGAGGTCGTTACGATATTGCACAGATTTAAGTTACATGTCGCATAATATTTGCTAATACTACAGTCCATCATTAAAGGGGAGTGGCCTCCTTATCTAGAACACTCACATGTTCATTGTCTAAGTTTACGACACAGGCTAATTTGAAATTTGCGGTACAGCATCGCAGAAAGGAACTTAAAAGATATTTGCAATATAATTAACTCACCGAATTTGTCCGGTTTCGACGACACCAGTTATTTAGTACTGCCCTGTCCAGTGCTATACAGAGGGCTGATAATCCATTGTCCACAGTTAATCACCTCTATTCCTTTCGGAACGCAAATGAAAACTCTGACGATGTATTTTTTTTTGCGTTCACTGTACCAAAAGACTTATTCGACACAAGGATGGAACGTAAGTGAGACCGAACCCCCCGATATTAGGTGTTATGCATATGGGTCAAGTATCAAGGAGTTGACAGTATAATTTTGACGATCAAGCTCTATGGGCGAAATATGCGACTGCGAATATAACTATGACCATATAAGGTCTAACGCTGCGTTAGAGCATTTGATTGGTTACTGAAATTCCATATCATACTGCGATTTCACAACACCCGCTTTGTATTCAAGCATCGACTAAAATAGGGATTTCTACAGTCCAATAATTTTAGGTTTGCTTTCATCCAAGAACGTTAAATACGGCACACCCTACGCTTCCCCTCACCTTCCCAACAAGTACTAGTGGGTGACGTAACTCTGCGACCCAGTTTTCAAAGCGCATGTTCACGTTTAACTCTTTTCAAATTCTTTTAATGCGTATGTTTTTTTTTCTCACTGACATAGCAGTAATTTTAAAGGATTTTTGAAATAAGTAAATGATATTTTTTGTTCGTCTCAGAGCTTTCAATTAAATACTATATTTTATTGTATAAAATATTGAAAATGTAAAATAATAAGATAATACAATAATGGCTAGCGTTTTTTGTGTTCTAAATGTACCTAAACTTCGTTCAACTAAAACACACGTTCTATATATAAATATTTTATTTACAGAACAATGCAACAATGGACAGATTTCAGACTCACGAAGATGCACATTACTAAAATACCATATACAATGTGCTTGTGAACCTTTGTTAAAATTTGCTTTAATGAAATTTCTATTGTGGGCTCGTATGATTTTTCTAATACTATTCCACTAAGAATTATTACTTGTGAAATAAATTTTCGTCCGAAACGGCATTTCTCAATAAAAACATAACAAATGACAGATACAAGCAACCCAATGACGACTAGCAGCCAAGGTTTTTGCTATTGTGTTTAGGGATCTTGGCTTTCATTTCTCATGAAACAAAATAAAATAATTTTGCTTCAACACCCATACTTATTAACGTTCTTACTACTTGCTGCTTTCTTCCTTTTAATCTGAATGACATGTTTAACTTGACTGGTCCATTTGATTCTAGAGTACCAAACACTGAGCCTTTTTGTGCTGTACTGCTTATGCAATAAAGATATTATTATTATTATTATTATTATTATTATTATTATTATTATTATTATTATTATTATTATTATTGTGTCTACTGAGATAAAAAGCTGCGTCAGTATGAGGTTTAAAGCCATGCTAAAATGACTAATGTTTAGAAGATAGAGGATAACAATCTGACAAATGGCTATTTCATTTTCTGACAGTTTCCCTTTAAGGATTATAAAATTAAATTAATGGTACATATTTGGAATCAACGGACACTTTAGTTTTTCTTTTAGTTTTTTCACATAGTCCTAGATTATATTTGCTTGTCTCTAGGTTTAAGTAGTTTAATTGGAAGGTTGAGTTGGTGTAGAAGTTGACTAGACTTCGCCTGTTTATTATTATTGTTATTGTTATTATTCTACAAAAAAATCGGTCTTACTAATGAACACTGTCTCTTCGTTCCAGTTGGACCATGGTAGCCGGAAGCAGATTGGACAAGAGTGCAATAAATGGACAAGCATTTCCGCAAACGATGGCGGTGACGTATTTCTGGTTCGGTCTTCCCCAGCATATCGTGTTTTCTAGTGATAAAAACTGACGATTGAGGTTCGCTCTCCAGGATACTTTCAAACGTTCTGTGTAAATCCGTGCAGCGGTCAAGTTCGACTAAATCATTCTGTACATATGTAATCTTGTTTTCTCTTTTATGTTTCTCTCGTCGAGGAGTTGTGTAAAAAGCTAATTATTTCGAAGAACTGTTCAAGGCCGATATTTCATTAACAAAATCGCGCGAATTTTTATTTGGTATGTTGTTGTTATTTTTTGTAAATAATAAAGTATTGTTAATTCTAGTTGCGATATTTTTCATTTTACCCATTTAATCCGTTGGTTTTCTATCCGATTGTTGAAGAGGTAATATTCTTGTTCGGTTGAATACAAAAAAAATACCAAAGGCTCAAATGGAGAGTGTCAAGTTCTTTTCTAGTTAGACCAACCACTTCTAAATAAATACACCAGTAATTCCATACTTATAATCTGACAGGCATTACACGATATCAAATTTCTATTTGTAGATCAAAAACCAGATAAACATAAAAAATTATAAAACTGCGCTGTTTTTATGGTTTGTTTTTCACGTGAAAAGAAGTTTGTTGTTTTTCAACTAAGCTAATATTAAACCGATGATACGTGTTAGTAATTACTTGCGAGCTGGACCAGTGCTGCATCCAAGTTGTGTTTACCAATTTTTGATGTGCGGAACTATACTGTTATACCTCCATTTCTGTTAAAAGTACTACACTCATCATATTGCTATAAAAAAGTCACTCAGTAACGAGTCACCAAAAATTACGAGGTACCTTATCGTTAAATCGTTTTAACTCCATTTCCATTTGGAAAATTAACTTGATTCGATGGATTTATGATTTTCCTGTAGCAATTATCAAGAGAGCTCTGTCACACCCCGAAAGTAATTCCTTAAAATGAGGAAGGACAATCAATTTCTTATACGGCGTAAATATTTAATACGTACACTCCGCCTCTGACAAATGGGGTAGAAGGAAGAGTCAAAAAGTAATTGCTGACCGGTGGAAATTTATATCAAGTTACGTATATAGTGTGAATCAATTCGTATTCTCGAGTTGGATTTAGGTTGGTCTGCAATAAAATGAAATGAAGCAGCACGTGGTCCGAACATTTCATTTGTCCAACTATATTCTCGTTTGTCACTAAACAATTCTGATATAATTGTCCAACAATTTTGAAGATCTATTGTCTACGTGTTTCTCGGTTGCTCCGTTTTATATTCCATTACAGAGTGGCCAAATTGCGAACAATAACGGAGTGATTAAAGAGGTACTGTATCTCGAGAAACTATTCCCTCATCTATTTACTAAGGTGGTCGACAGAAGACCGCGGAATTCTTTCCTGAAATCCACCTCGAAAATGGGTCAAAAAAATAAAGCCAAGCTTTGTTTGAATGTGCTTAGTAAGATAAATTGGTGGTGGTGATTCAATATTTTCTTTCAGCCGTAACTTCTAAACGACTAAATGGATTTTAATAAAAACCTTTTGAATAAATGCAATAATATTGGCAAAATTTTGCAGGTGGATTAGTGCAAAAAAAATTAATTTTATAATCAGTAATATACTAAGTTGTTCATGAGTTAGTTGTTGTTCAATTTTATGGATTTTAGGAATGTTAATAAATACAATATAACAGTATTTATTTCTGTTATTTTTATTCTTATCTTAAGTGAGTGATAAATATATATATGAAAAACTTTACGCTATACAGTGAGTAATGTTCTACATAATGTGGGCTGTTCGTGAAGTTCCATTAATAAATGAGGACCGAATGCAATGCTTTAAAACATTTGGCTGGTACCTCAGTACTTGAAAATTGAAAAAAAAAGAAAAACTGTAAAAACATTCTTGGAGCAAAAGAATCCGGGAAAACAATAGTCCAAGTAACCCAAAAACTTTTCCAACTAGACCACTAGCTCATTTTTATTAATATCCGCCACCTCGCTGCAAATCCATTATCAAATAAAACGCAGGAATGGTTCTGACTCGCAATTAACATTAATATAAAAGCCGCGCCAATTTCCTTAATGCGTTTTGGATTTTCATTTCTCATCAAGGAAAGTAATCTGTGATATTGCTTTCCTATATCAAACTTCACACCCTTCATAAAGCACGAATTGATCCCCCGTTTCTCTCCCTCCTCCTTTCCTCCCCTGCTCATCCACGTTCCAGTCTCAATTAGGAAATTTGACTTTTACATCCGATTTTACGGGTTCCATCCATTACACCGAAGGATGTTTTGAACGTTCGTTTTAAACCTTGAAAGTTTCAGTTCGGTTAATAATGGGGCTTTATAATTCTGCCTTTTAATTGATCTGAGAAAGGCTGCTTTATGCTGTTTTATAATACACACATAATGGCAGTTTTTGGCTTTTTTTGGCTTTGGTTATTTCAGAAATTGTATTGAATATTGAATGCAATCGTCTAGGTGAGTTATTGATATTATTATTAATTATATTAAATCATATTGTTATATTAAAATTTAATATAACTTTATAACTGATGATAAGTGTACATTTTGTAGTAGATAAGGATGTATGTTTGTGATAATGGTTCAGAAATCTACCTCGATATGGCTTTTGCGTTGGGTGACAGTTTTCTAACTTTGGAAGACTAGCTTTGTGTTGAGTTTGACTTGATGAATAAATGTTGAATGAGGAACGATTATGATTCTAAAAAAGACCAAGACGTGCGAATTTTTCTCATATAGTAATATATATAAAATCAATGTCCCTCTTATCTAGTAAATATAGAACCGACGTTCATAATTTGAATTTAAGATTTAGAAACTATACAACAATGTCCATCTTTTGTATTTTTTTTCGATTACATATACTTTTGGGACTGAAAATTGGCCAGTTCTAAATTTCCTTCGGTCCCTTTTTGCGGATAATTATATATAATTTATACATATATGTTGTTGTAATTAATTTTTTGGGAATAAACTTCATTTGTTTGTTATTATTATTAAATATCTGCTACGAAATAACCTCAAAACTAATCAAAAGACGAATTTTCTCGTCCCTACTCTTTTTTTTTCGGTATTTTAGTCACAGGTTGAGAGCGATCGGATATTTTATGTTTAAAAACTTTCGCTAGTAGTTCACAAGATGTTTATTGAGTTAAAAACAGTTCGCAAATATCGAGTTTTCTGATACTGACATCAATTAGATATACTGTCACAATTTTATAAAACAGTATAAAGTGTGCTTTAAAAACTATATTAGATCAAATGTCAGAGGCATTTATTAAATTTTAGTCTTATTCCCCTATATTTTGTAAATATTCAAATCGATGGAAAAATTTGGCAGAAGTTTTTTTTTTTTTTTAATGTTATTTTAGGACAGGTAAAGTAATGAAAACATTAACAGAAGAGTTTTTTTTTTTACTTAGAAAGAATTAATTGTGTGAAGTCAGAACCATTTCAGCTTTACAGTAAAAGAAATGATAGAAATGATAATTTACACTTAAATATTAAATCGCTTTTAAGGTTGGTTCAAGATTCCAACAAATACTGAATTCGGATTTTCTTCCTTCAAAAACACAAGCGCCGTAATTTATTACTGTATCTGGTACAATATTTCCTACACTATTTCATAGCATACCCATCAATGGGCCAAATCAGCCCTTGCAATATTTTCGATATTACAAATTCACATAAGTCAATTTACTTTGAAACGAATCCGCATGCCAAAAGCACTATGAAACAGGTCCGTGCATATAAATCAAAGCACGTTAATATATCACTTGTTTACCCCCCAAAGGGCCTGGAAAGCTCTTGGACTCAACAATTCCAATTTAAACATCTAACGTATGTTTGGCCGGTACAAAGGACCTACATAAAAGCATCAGTAATGGGGGGGTTCGTAATGAATAAGTTAGGGCGAAGGAGCCCCGAGGCCCGCCACTGACCACTTTTCATGGGTAGCTGGGTCGGCCTCCTGTTGCATTTCTCTACTTCCTTGCTCTAAACTCGTTATGAAATACTTCGTTTAATAAATAAACAAGCCGGCGAAAAAGACCAGCGACTGTACGCGAATATAAGAGTTAATGGATTAAATTTAAGGAGATTACGTTGTGTAGATTTTCAGGGCTTTGTTTGTTGTTTGTTTTCACATATTGTAATTCTGAAATGCTGCGCGTGAAAAGAACAGTGTTTAATAGCATGTGAATTATAAAGATTGTTTCCTTAAGGTTAGCTAGTGATACGATTATTGCGAAATAATGAAAACTTCATCCATGATTGGTCATTGAATATCAAAAGATTTATTTGGAATTTATTTTAAACCAGTGGAAACACTGTATCATGTCATCAACTATTTTGCATTGTTTTTCGCACCTGTAAGGGCCACTTAATGAATTTTGCAAACCGATGGGAAAAATATATATTTATTACATACTTAAGTAGTAAAAAGTTACATTTTGCTAGATAACAAGAGAAGTGTGGAATATGGAATACTTAAGTAGTAAAAAGTTACATTTTGCTAGATAACAAGAGAAGTGTGGAATATGGAATATTAGCAAAAAAATATTTACACATTTTTTTTATTTAGTTTTATGTCCAAGTTTTTCACGATCACATCCTTGTCCTACCGACGGTAACTCATGAATGGGGTGTCACCAGTTAAATGCCTTTATGATCTTGTATTTTTTATAAGTTTTTATTCTGTTCTCTCATTCTATTTTTCATCACCAACTTTTGCTTTAAAAATGGCACATTGCATTTAGTTACTAGACATTATAGGGGCCGCTAATACTCGGACACCTAACATATTCGTAGAGAAGAGAATGCCCCTAAATTTCACATATTAACCTGCACTTTGCACAATTATCTTTCCAAACATCGATCTTCACACACTCATTTCTATATTGAAAATTTGTTGGAATCAGGGCATATTTTGCCATAAAACTGCCGAAAAGATGCCACATCCAATATGAGAACAGTCGAATTGATCATTGCATTAGTTCATTTCAAATCTCCGATCATATTAGTTGAAAAGTAGATCTCACCTCTGTGCATATTGAATGACCCTTCTCGACATTTTCTTTTAATGGTGACTTCAAAAGTTCTTGTATTATCAGCATCGGCAGAGTCTCTATATACCTAGTGACCTTTGGGTAGTGCCACCCTAGGTAAATAAAATAAGATGAAGCAGTACTTATATTGTTTGAAGAATAGTTTATTTTTGTGTTCGCAATGGAGCGAAGAAATCGA